ATATTCTGGACTTTGCCATGCCTTATCTAATTCAAGTAAGTTAAATATTTAAAAAAAAAATCGAAAAAAACTTAATCTTTTTTCTTCTTCCTCTTGCTCAGGTTATACGTGAATACACCGCCAAAGTGGATAAACTCGAACAAAACGAAGCGCGACGAGAAAAAGAAGACGAAACTGTCGAACATAAAAACATTATTAGCATGGAACCTCAATTAATGATCACAGCTGGTCCTGGTATGGGTATACCGCCACAGTATGCTCAAGGTTATGCGACTGCGGGACAGGCGCCAGGTTATGCGCCCAACATGGCCTATCCCGGCTATGGAATGTAGGCTACTTTTTGTCATTCGTTAAACTATGTGTAAAAAAACAAATACAACAACAAAACCAAGAACCACGAATTAAATTAACAACAACAACACAACAAACATCATTAATGTTAACGAAAAAACAAACAACAAGATTCCATGTTTAATATAATTAATTACTATTATTATTACTGCATATTATAATTTTTTTCTTTAAAAAAAAAATCGAAAACAACTAAGTTTAATTCCAAAAAACCAACAACAACAAGAAAAGGTTAAACAAACACTAGGCCTAGAATACAGACAAGAACACACGAACACTTTCACTCACCTACTTAACAAATTGATTACAAACAAAAAAGTAAGCATCCTGTTTTGTTTTACGAAATTTTGTTAAACGATTTTTTTCTTTGGAGATAATCGAATGTATGTTTTCTTTTGAGAGGGGTTTCCTGCTGTTTGTTTATCTTAAACTTCCATTTAATTATGTTTCTGTGTGGATTTATTATTATTACTATTATATATACATATATTTTTTTAATTGTTTAAATTTCCTATTCGACCCTACCTCCCCCTTACCTTACCGTCTTCTATTTTTTTTATTTGTATTTATGTTTGCATTACATAAAATTAAAAACAAAACAAAAAAACAATAAAATAAATTTGCTAATTTATCTATTATTCGCGTTGTCGTCGTTGGAGTTTGGAATGCAAAAAACAAAACAATATTTAATCTAGAAAAAAAATATACGAACATAGTTTGAGAATATACATTTAAATATATTATTATTTTTTATTTTAATTTTTTTATTATTCTCTCTCACTGTCTCTTTAAATAAGTTTAAAATTAAAAAATTTATTAGTAATGCCGCTCCATCAACAAAACAAACAACAACAACAAAGTTACAACAAAAATATACGCTCTATTATATATAATCGAAAGAAAAATGAAAATTTTTTATTTTATTTTCCCAATAGGGGACAAAGTTTTAGGGTTTTATTTTTTAAGGTTAGGTTGTGTAAAAGAAATATTTCCCCTATAAAATTTGTAATAGGAAGGTGGATATTTGTGTTTAGGCCCAAAATTCCTTGAAAACTCCGTCTTAGGAGGTTGATACCAATTAAAGAACTATTCTACAGAAAAATTCACTCTATGTCCCTGAACAAAGCTAAGCTATAAGAATAATATTTGTGCATAAAAATACCGTTAACAAATTGTGTATGTAAAGGAGTGAAATTTTTAAGGTTAATTTCATGGTATTTTTCAATTTCGCTAAAATTTTAATCAAAACGCCAGTTTAGGGATTTGATGTCAATGGAAAGAATGTTCTACACAAAATTTCGTTATAGGTCCCCGAACAAAAGATATCTGTAAATGCAATACACACCACTGAAAAATACCTTGCAATTTGAGGTTATAATTTCATTTAGTGAATTACTCAATGTCTTTGAGTTTAGGCCGAAAATTCCTTGAAAACTCCATCTCAGGAGGTTGATACCAATGGAAGAAATATTGTACAGGAATATTCAACTTGTGTCTCAGAACAAAGCCAAACTATTAATGTAATATTTGTGCATAATAATACCGTTAACAAATTGTGTATGTAAAGGAGTGACATTTTTAAGGTTAATTTTATGGTATTTTTCAATTTCGCTAAATTCTTCCTCAAAACTCCAATTTAGAGATTCGATGTGAATGGAACAAATTTTGTATACCAAAATTCACTATGGGTCTCCGAACAAAAGATATCTGTAAATTCAATAAACACCCCTGAAAACTCCCTGGCAATTTTAGGTTATGTTAATTTGATTTAGTGAATTACACAATGTTTTTGAGGTTAGGCCGAAATCTTCCAGAAAAATCAATTTTTGGAAGTTGATGCCAGTGGAGGAAATTTTCTACAGAAAAATTCACTATATGTCCCAGAACAAAGCCAAGCTATTAGGGTAGTATTTGGGCATAAAAATAACGTTAATAAATTGTGTATGTAGATGAGAGGATTTTTTAAGGTTATTTTCATAGTATGTTTCAATTTTGCAAAAATCTTCCTCAAAACTCCAATTTAGGGGTTTGATGTCAATAAAAAAAAAATATTCTATACAAAATTTCACTATGGGTCCCCGAACAAAATATATCTGTAAATGCAATACATACCTTTGCAGTTTGAGGTTATAATTTGTTTTGGTGAATTACACAATGTTTTTGAGTTTAGGCCGAAAATTCCTTGAAAACTTCATCTTAGAAATTTGATACCAATGGAAGAAATATTCTACAGGAAATTTCAAGTTGTGTCTCAGAATAAAGTTAAGCTGTTAATTTAATATTAGTATGTAAAAATGCGGTTAACTAATTGCTGATATAGAGCAGTGGCATTTTTAGGTTTAATTTCTTAGTATTTTTCAAATTTGCCAAAATTGTCCTCAAAACCGCAATTTAGCTTGATGTAAATGGAGAAAATGTTCTATACCGAATTTCAATATGGACCCCCAAACTTAAAAATTTGTAAATGTAATATTTGATCATAAAAATACCGTTAACAAATTGTGAATGTAGAGTAGTGTAATTTTTTAAGGTTAATTACGTAGTATTTCTCAATTTCAAGAAAATGTTCCTCAAAACCGCAATTTGGGGGTTTGATGTCAATGGAAAAATGGTTCTATACCAAATTTCAATATGGGTCCCCAATTATTTTCCAATTTTGCCTAAATCTTCCTCAAAACCTCAATTTAGGGATTCGATGTAAAGGGAAAAAATATTCTATACCAAATTCCACTATGGCTTCCCGAACAAAAGATATCTGTAAATGCAATACACACCAATAAAAGAACACCATTTATTGGGGTGTATTGCATATATACATATATATATACAAATAGTCTGTCCGGCCGGACTTAATTACGTTTTTAAAACGCCGAGTACTCCAGAAGGCTTACACTTTATAGAAATAGGTATTTAAGTAGCCGTAAAGCAGTGGTGAGGAATATAAAAATTTCGGTCCAGCCGAACTTAACAATGTATTTACTTGTTTAAAATCTATTTTTGTTTTCGATCCCTCGTTTCGTTTTTTTGGAAAATCGTTTTTAAGAGAATGTGAGTATGATTTATTTTTTTGTAATAATTGTATATATGTGTGCGTACGCAAAAGATTATCTATCAAAACGCCCATAAAAATTGGAATCTCATCACATAATTCAAACACAAATTTACACTGCACAATAATTTTCACAATTTAATGGCTTGATTATGTTGGCCAGGTGGTGAGGTTTTGATACCTTTCGATGTTCATTTGAGTTGCCAACATCCAAATTCGATCAGCTGTTTTAACAGTCAGCTGTTTAATACCTTTCAAATTCATTTTTTCTTTCCATATATTTTGAATATTTTATATCAAAAACAATACATTTTTGCATAATCAAGCCATTAAAATTTAATATATTTTATTTTTTTCCAAAATCTATATTTCATATTCATAAATATCTTTTCTTCTTCTCATCTCTTCTAGATATAAATAATCATTCTAAATCTAGACACAAAATAGTATTGTTGATCATCATCAGAGTTCATATACATATTTTTTTGTTCGGTTCTGGAAAGCTGTATACACATGCAACAACGAGGAAGCGTTTTCTTTCATGAGGAAGAAGTCGGAATTGTGGTCAATAAATAATTGCTTCCGAAAGTTCTAGAAATCAGCAGCATCATCATCACCATTAATAAGATCGATAATTACGCCCATAATGTTTGAAGAGGATATTTAGCACCATTCAGATTACATACCTAAAATATGTTTTAAATTGTTTTTTTCATAAATCATCTGACATCGAGGGAAGTTTTAGTGTTGCCAAAAATATTACCACGACATGGCTTGTTCTTTGGCAATACTAAAGTCAACGCCTAAGTTCAAAAATTTATTCCACCTTCTATGTCTGATGATCGTGTTAAATACTGCTATATATAACCTACATTGATATAAATTTACATTGGAGTATTAAAATAAAACAATGTATACAAATTTTGATTTGAAACTCTACTAAAAAGAAAAAATAAATTAACAATTGTTCCAACAGTTCAAAAAAATTTTATGCACAATATACCAAAAATGGAAGACAGCCAACAGATACAAACCGACACATTATTATTCCAAAAAAAAAAAAAAACAAATAAATAACAGACAAACCTAATAACATTATTAATTTTAATTAAAATGTATAACCAAATACAAATTGTAATTTATTTAATACATTAAAAAAAATACAAAACCTACAAAAGGGGAAATATTTACATAATTTAATTGAAATATTCCACTAGAAGTCCTCATAAAAAATAACTTAATTCAATGAAAAAAAAAAATAAACGACAAACATAAATAATATATTAATAACAATAAAAAAAATAAATAAAAATTGTATTAATTAAAATTTAATAATTGTTTAATTATTATTTTTATTTTTTAAATATTTTTCAAGTAGTCCACTAGGCGAGGATTTTTTAAAAGATATTTTTTAACACCTAATGGATTTATTAAAGCAAATATTTCAAGGATAATTATCTCTCAAGGCGCGGGTTTATTAAAGCAAATATTTCAAGGACTATCAGTTCTCTCGGCGTGAATTTAGTAACGCAAATAGTTCAAGGTTCATTAGACCTATTATTCAGAATTTTTTTATTTCTAATTTTGCCATTGCATGCATTTATTTCGATTTCTTCACACTTTTCTTCTCTGATTTTGTAGTTGTTGCTGCCGAAGTTTTCCATTTATCCTGCTGTTTCGCACATTCTTTGTTCACCTCAATTAATAACTCTATTTCATCTTTAATATAATCCAATTGTTTTTCAATTTCATTGCGTTGATAAAGGGGATCCATGTCTGCAATAAAAAAATATTTGTATTCAAAATATTAAAAATTATTTTTAAAAATATTAGAAAAACAAAATCCCAAGTACTTCTCCTTTTGCACAGCAGACGATACATATAATGTATGCCATCCAAGGCACGATCCTTATTCAAATCATGAGTGGCCACAGTGTCTTTGGCATTGGCCATTATCTTTTCCCATTTGGAACATTCGGCACGAGCCTGATTATAGGATCTTTCCAATTCGGCTAGATCGTTTTTCAACCCCAAAACCGTTAGGGCCGCCTCATTGGTTAGCTTGACCATGCGTTGGCGCATTTCTTCGATTTCCTGAAGTTTTTCCTGTTCCAAACGGGATATTTCCACCTGGGCGAGCACTAGGAGGGTGTAATGGGAAATATAAATCGGGGGTAGAGTAGGAAATTGGTCATGAAACTTACTTAGGGCATCACATCTATCCATACAATCCTTGACCGATTCAAAAATATCGGATTTTTCAACAACTTCTTCCAGAACCTTTTCGTAGGGTTCAAATTCTTTGACAGTGGCCTTTAAGACATCACGGAAATGGGCTGGGAAAATATAAAACAATTACAAAGTTTAGTTTTGAATTATGTATGTAGATGAGAGGCATATATGAAAGTTAATTTTTTAGTATTTTTTAATTTCACAGAAATCTTCCTCAAAACTCCAATTTTGGGATTTGATGTCAATGGAATGTTCTACATGTTCTACACCAAATTTCACTATGGGTCCCCGAACAAAAGATATTTGTAGATGCAATACACATCACTGAAAAACACCTTGGAATTTGAGGTTATAATTTGATTTAGTGCATTACACAATATTTTTGAGGTTAGGTCAAAAATTCCATGAAAACTCCATCTTAGGAGGTTGATACCAATGGACGAAATATTCTTCAGAAAATTTCACTATATGTCCCAGAATATTAGTTTAATATTTATCAAAGCCAATCTATTAACCCAATATTTCTACATAAAAATCCCGTCAGAGTGCCATTTTTAATTTTAATTTCATGGTATTATTCAATTTATCCAAAATCTTCCTCAAAACTCCAATTTACAGGTTCGATGTCAATGGAAAAAATGTTCTTTACTAAATTTCACTAAGGGTCCCCGAACAAAGGATATATGTAAATGTAATACACACCACTGAAAAATCCCTCGCAATTTGAGGTTATAATTTGATATAGTGAATTACACAATGTTTTTGAGGTTAGGTCGAAAATTCCATGAAAACTCCATCTTAGGAGGTTGATACCAATGGAAGAAATTTTCTACAGAAAATTTCACTATATGTCCCAGAACAAAGTCAAGCTATTAATTTAATATTTGTCCATAAAAAACCCGTTAACAAATTGTGTATGCAGAGGAATAGCATTTTTGTGGATTAATTTCATAGTATTTTTTTAATTTTGCAAATATCTTCTTCAAAACCCCAATTTAGGGATTTGATGTCAATGGAAAAAATATTCCATACCAAATTTAACTATGGGTCCACGAACAAAAGAAATTTGTAAATGTAATATTTGTTCATAAAAATACCGCTAACAAATCGGGTGTGTAGACAGCAATGGTTAACTTTATAGTATTTCTGATTTGTCCAAATTTTGATATTGTGTCATTATATATTTAATTTTCTCATAGAGTAAAAAAATCCCCCTAGTATATATTGGCCCAAGTTTCAAGATAGCGCCCCAATACTTGTTTAAAAGTTGCTATTGTTTATTGGCCATACAAAACATGACGTTGAAGACGAATTTCTCGTTTCCAAACTGGTCGATCATTGAAAAATTCTGATTTCCTTCAAAAACATTTCCAGTCAATCACTTATTTCAAAATCTATCCTTACTCAATTCCTCAATACTCGTCTTGTACTTGGCAATCTGTTCCTTTAATTCTTCATGCATTGCCGTCTCCTCGGCCACTTTCTTTTCGGCCATGCGCTTCTTATCACCACAATCCTTAATAAAATTATTGACCTCAATGAAACGTTTACGTAAATTTGCATGAATTTTATACAGTTTGCGTATACGGGCAGCATTTCCCGCAGATTGGGTCTTGGCATTTTCCAACATTTCCTCTTGCAGACGCATCATGGCGGCATGTTCACGTTCATTGCGTATATAGAGCAATTCAATGGAATCACCGGCCGAATCCCAATTGGGAGGTTTTCTAAGAAGTGGAAATTAATTAATTGCATTTTTCTTATCTATAATTCAATTTTTAAATCTCACATAAAAAACGCCTTTTGCTGTTTGGATTCTATGTAATCGCCAACAGCCTTCTCTGGGCTTAAATCCAAATTTCCAATCACATCTACTTTGGTGGTGGGCTTTAGGCGGGGCATTTTTTATTAGCTTTTATTAAATTTTAATAAAAATATTTAAATATATTTGTAGAGAAAATCGAAAAATATATATTTTCTGTTTATTTAAGTGTCAGTTATGGCCGTTATGACAACCATATGTTTATAGGGTTGCCATGTTACAAATGAATGCAAATCTGTTGCCAAACGTTAAAAGTTTTGCTAAAAAAACGAATTTTATAATAAAGAGAAAAGAGAGAGGGAGAAATTGGACCATATAATTTCCCATTGGAAAAAATTTAATGATTATTTCATTTGTTTATGGCCACAATAATGATAAATAACAACGTTATTAACAATAGGTGTCTATAGATGCGAAATAGTATTATTCCATGAATGACAATAGGGCTATATAGATGCGAAATAGGATTATTTGTCAATGACAATAGGGCTCTGTAGATTCAAAATAGACGTATACGGATAACCTAACAAGTCACGAATATCAACTTAGTAAAGCTGAAGCCGTTTTTAAATATTTTTTAGACTATGTCTACGCATGATATATGGTCCTAGAACTAGTTGGAGGAGCTGTATCCTACTGCGTTTCCGAAAAATATAATTTTACATACTTAATACTGTTTGTATGGAAAAATAAAACATCCTTAACCCTTTCTGTGTTTTTTTTTTTCGAATATATTCGATATTTAAAAGTACTCTCTTTCTTTGGTTATCCTATGTACCGTTACTATTGATGTTTTTGTTTTTGCTGGAAAACAGACGAAACTGACCTAGGATTAAAATGACAATTGCTATTTTTTCTAAACTATGTCCCTTTATATGATTTTAAATACAAAATGTTAGATTTTTATTTCGACAAAATTTTTCTTTGGCACTGAAAGGGTTAAAAACAAGTACAGCCGAAATTGCCTATGATGCTTTTACACGATACGTATTTTACATATGTGCTGTCAAGAGACCGCCGAAATTGGTCGCTATAAGCAATATGTTATTATAAACGGTATCAAATAAATGGTAAAATATTTCTCGGGACTTTTGGAAAGAGTCGTTTAAATCCGATATGTCGTTATAAACGATTTCGACTGTTAAAATGCGTCTTTAATTTCAACCGACCGGAAGATGTACCCTCCAACACTTGGTATGAATTCAAAAACCCTTAAATCGGTCGGGACCTTAATTTGAGACTATCTTATTGCATTATGTGGAATTAGGTTGTAAACGCTCGGTTTTGGGAAAACTGGGGTAGGAACTTCAATATACGGAAAAATTAACGATATATATCAAAGTGGATCTAATTCAAAACCGTTCTCTTTTAAACTTGCTTCATTCGTCTTCGGGTCTATACAGGGCAATTCGATTTCAAAAATATTTTTTTTGACAATGTTCTGGATTGGTATTTCAAATTGTTGACACTACAAACAAAATTCACAAAACGAATTGCCAGAAAATTGCCGATACGAACAATTCCCCTTGCCCCTCTCTCTCCTTCAAACAAAGACTTGTCGCAATTAAACTCGCCTAATATAAATTGGGACTAATATTGAATATTTTATATAAATAATTTTTTTATTAACGATAAATCCTATATACGGCCAAATTATACTCACTTAAACCTTTTTGTTATTAGTATATATTAATATTAATAGTACCTAAAATTGGGCGCCATCTTTTTATGGAGGCTATATCAAAACATTGATTGATATCAAAAATTGTCTAAATATATGTTTTTTCGCTCTCCCAAAAAATCCCTGATTATCAAATTACAGGAACTTCAGCGTAAATTTCGTTTAAAGCCTTAAAAATATTGGGGCATTTATATGGAAGCTATGTCAACACAGAAACCTTTGATTAAAAACATCCGACAATAAATCGTGTCCTTTATGTGAAGCTTGGGCCAATAGCCTCTAATGTTTTACCCTCAAATATACCTGAATACCAAATAATAGCAACCTCAATAAAAAAATGCGACTGAAACCATAAAAATACTGACAATATGGCGCTACCGTTATATGGAGGCTATGTCAGAAAATGGGCCTATATTGATACTTTTATATGTTTGTCTGCGTTCAAGAACCCTTTATATGAAATTTCAGTGACATCGGTGGGAGGATGCCAAAATAACGAAAATGTGTCAAAATAACGAAAATGGGTCGGTTCCCTTATACGGTAGCTACACCGAAACGTATATAGATATTGATTATTTTTGTTAGAAACATTCGATTTAAAAAAAAGGAAAATTATTTATTTTCAACAAAACCCTTCACATTTACCTTTAGAATTTAATGTGTCACCCTGTCATTCACCTCAAGTTATCATACCTTGTATTTTTTTTTAACGTTTGACTTTATAAATAACAAATGTAAATTTTCTCCCCAAATAAAATCTCTGTAATGAAATTTCTCAATAATGAAGTAAATTATACTCTCTCAAATAGCTATTTTATATTAAAGTTCGATTTTATTACCAGAAAATACGTTTATTTTCAACAAAATCCGTCACCTTTACCTTTACAATTCATTGTGTCACCCTGTTATTAATCTCAAGTTATGCTACCTTGTATTTTTTTTAACGTTTGACATTTATAAATATCAAATGTAAATTTTCTCTAAATGATATGACTATAATATAGTAAATTGTTCTCTCCCAAACAGCTGTTTTATAGGAAAGTTCGTTTTTATTGCTAGGAAATGCGTTTATTTTCAACAAAATCTTTCACGTTTACCTTTACAATTCATTGTGTCAGCCTGTCACTTCATTAACAACCACATAGGGCTCTATAGGTCGAAAGACAACACTGCTATTCAAATAAGAATCAACAGACATAAGGGAGCTAACAATCACTAGAGTGTTTTGGCAACATGTTGAGAGAGCTTTGAGCGCTGGCAGCAACATTCAACAGAAGGCAGTCAAAAAAATGCGTTCATTGTGATTGGTTCGATTTTCTGGTTTTATCGGTAAGCGAGAAGTTGAATAAAAAAAAGAAAAAAAAAGCAAAGCAAAAAAATACTAAAAGAAAAACAACACATACGGTGAAGCGAGTGAGCGAGCAAGCACGGACGAAAAAAATCAAACGTACGGACGACGACGGTGATACAATCAAAATATTTTTGGAATTAAGAAAAGAAAAAAGTAAAGCTAATAATAATGGAATATTAAAACTAAATAGAGGAATTTATATGAAATAAATGAATTGATTGATATACAAAAAATTGTGGTGGCTAATTGAGAAAGATGTGAAAATGTGCAAAAAAAATGAAATGTGTGTGTTGCAAAAAGTGAAGACAAACACCGAAAAAAAGAAAGCATGAAAAATTTTGCGCAAAAGAAAATGTGTTTTTTCATTGTGACAAATATTTTTATTTTTTAAAAATTGTGAATTTCCTGAATTGGAAAAAAAGTTTAAAGCCCTTGGCGGCCTCGCCTGACCATTGTTAAGAATAAAATTCCTCCACACCCTGCTGCTGCTGCAAAATCATCATCTATTTTTTTGTTCTTGTTTTTGTAGTTTATTGGGTTATTTTTGTATATTTCTCTTCTTTCTCGCGTATGTGTGTGTGCGTGTTTGTGTTGTGTGTCTGTTTGTTTTGTTGTTTTTGTTTTATCTGTCGTTCATTTTTTACGCCGATAGAAACTAATTGGATTTGTGGTGTGCGTGTTTTGTTATTTTTTTCCGTGTGTTGTGTTTCAAATTTTCTTCTTCTTATCCGTCTTCTTCTTCTGGTGTATTTCATTTGTTTCGGTAGTGTTTTTTATGTTGCTGATCATCATCGTCGGGTGGAGAAATAACAAAAACAACGAAAACACCAACAAGCCAAAAAAAGTGATTCACTTATACAGCACAAAAAGGAGAAGATTCCAATTACCCCACCAAAAAATAAAAAAACCAATAAGAAAAAAATAATGAGAACAATAAGTGAAAAAAAGCATCCAACTAAAGATAAAAACAACAACAATAACATTGGAGATGAGCGTGCTGTGACCAGTCGAGAATGGATTTTTTTTGAGCAGCATCTGAACAAAATTCTGGTTTTATTTTTTTCCGAAATATGCGGCGCGACGCGGCACTGTTTACACTATCCCGCGGTTTTTTACACATAATTCACAATAAACAAATGGCATGGTTGATGGAAGAAATAGAGATTTTGAAGGCCCCTTCTTCTTATGAAAGAAATGGAGATTTTGAGGGGCGGAATATGCCTAGGGAGCATCAAAAAATTTTTTCTATGTAATGAAGGCCTCCTTGGTACAATCTGTGACCACAAATTAACTTAAAAAAGGAATGTTGAGGAACGCACTATGAAAGGACCAATATCAATCTATTCCTGCAAGAACTCTGTAGGTAAGAGTTGCGGACTAAATCCCAGAGATCATACAATGGCTATATGTGACGGTCGTACTCCCCATTCTTACATATGGATGCCTTGTCTGGTGGCAAGGGTCAACCAAAAGATACTGCTGGCTAAAATGAATACAGTATAGCGATCGACTTCGATCCTAATAACTGAAGAGCTAGGTTAGATTAGGTTTGGGGATGTACAGTCACTTATGTGGCTGCAAAATTCCGTCAGGTCCATTGTGATCATCAACGAAAAGAAAAAGATATGGAGAGATCTATGGGGGCGAGAAAAGAAGGGGGATGGAGACAGACGAGAAGTTGACAAGGAAGTGTGAGATAGTATCGATGGCTATAGAGATCGGATAGAAGATATATTACTTGAGCTTTGCTCAAGTTCAACAGTGAGTGTGTCCTTTGATGGACAAAGTCAGCCAAATAGATCTTGACACATTGCACCTAGGTTCGTTGTGCCAAAAGTTCATAGGCTCTTTCGTCGAAGAACGCCTCAAAGTTCCGATAAAGATAACATATGGGTGGTTTGATTGAGCCCAAAAGTTCACAGGCTCTTTCGTCGAAGTACGCCTCAAAGTTCCGATGAAGATGACATATAGGGGGTTTGATTGAGCCCGTTAATTGCTAGATCTGTAGATTGAGATCCTTGTCTAGCTAATTGGTCTGCTCTTTTATT